TTGGTTACTTCAAAAAATCTTTTTTATACAATGCTCACATAATAGTTTACTGATGAATAACAAAAATTTATTGTACTACTAATTTAAGTTTTGCATTTATCAGGGATTTTTTAAATAAATTTTTTTTATAATTTTATAAAGTTGATATATATAAAACAAAAATTGTAATTAAGTGTTTTATTTTATGAAACTATAAATTAGAACCCATGTCGATGGTAATATCATTAACAAAAAGATAGCTTGTTGTCAAGGTGCAGTATTCTTGTTGCTTAAGTTTAGTGACATGATGCTATTGTTTTGAAATATATTTGATATATATATAAAGACAGTACCTTTATTTAAAGATTTCTTTGTAGTGGCAAGTTTGACTTTAAAAGTGTTAACACAATAAAATAAAATAAAAAGATGTTAATTGGATTCACTAAGTATGTTATAATTCCTATATGTAGCAGTATCACAATTGAATTCACTAAATATGTTATAATTTCTAGATGTAGCAGTATCACAATTTGATTCACTAAATATTTTATAATTTCTAGATGTAATACTATCACAACTCCACAAAGCGTGCTCAAGAACAGCTGCTGAAAAATAGAACGTCAATAGTTTTTCGAATAATTTTTAAGAATAATTTTATCGCTGAAATATTTCTTTTATACCTAAAAGATTTTTATTCTAACATTTTATTTTATTTTATTTTACTAAAAATAAAATTCCTTGTAAACATTAAAAATCTATTCAAAATGTTTGTTAAAGTTTTTTAATTATAAGAGTGATTGTACTTATCAACCGCTTTATGAAAATAAATAAAAATAAATAAATAATTATTATATAAAATCGCTATTAAAAATATTAGCTATTGCACAGTTTTTAATCATACAATATTAAAATTTCCAGTTTATTACCCTCTGACTTTTTAAAAAGAAAAAATAATTATTTGAAAAACTTATGTTTTTTATTCGCTTAGTATAGACAAAATGTGTCAAACGTCGAGAAAATAAACAAATGTTTTAACATTTTAAAAAACGAAACATTCCAAAACAATTTTAAATAATAACATTTCTACATTAATGATTTAAAGTAGTTTTGCGGTAATTAAGTAAATTGGTGCAGTTAATGTTGATAAATATGAAAAACAAATAAAAAGAATTTAATGACGTCAAAAATCACATTGTGCTTATGCGTTGCGCAGTTTTTATTCATCACAAAGCCTGGAATAAATTGTTTAATTGCATATTATTATTTTATCTTAGGTCTACTAAATAAAATTAGATTCATCAATTGTCTCTCTAATACTTGATCAAAGTTTGCGTTTAAAAATTTTGTCTTTTTAGAAAAATTTTAATTTTGTAGCAAAAGCAATTGAAATGTTTTTTAAATCATTTGTTTGAATAAAAACATCAAATAGTGTTATTTATTGACTAGTTTAGGACATTTATAGTCATAGGCCAAAGAAAGGGCCAGGGGGCCTCTGACCAACTCTGCCCTCCCCCCAATCTCCCTGGATTTTTTTATTTAATAATTTTATTGATGCATTAAATGATATAATAAAAAATAATTATTAAAATTCAATTTAAAAACGCAATTTTTTTTTGTTAGTTTTAGTTTGAAAAACAATTTATTTTTCATTATTTCAATTCAAATCGGAGAATGCTTACCTTTTTTTTATACCAAAAACATACAAATGTTTTGTTTTTTTCTTTTTAAAGGTTGCACTTTACCACTCCTTTATATATTGATAAAACACAAAGTAGATACTTGAAAAACTGTATAGAAAATCTTAACCAAAACAAATGCATATTTTTAAAAGATTTAGCTGAAGTTATTAATATGTTGTTCATGATGAGGTTTAAAGTTATCACTGGAGTAACTATATATATCAAAGAAAATCTACCTGATGTATCAAGCGTGAAATACTTTTCCGATGGTTTTGCAGCACAATTTAAAAATTCTAAAAACTTTATCAATCTTTGTCATCACAGTAAAGACTTTGATTTAAATGCTGAATAGGTATTTTTTGCTACCAGTCATGGTAAATCCCCCTGTGATGGTATTGGTGGGACTGTTAAAAGAGTAGTATGTCAAGAAAGTCTAAAACAAATAACTACTGGGCAGATTTTAGATGTTAATTTTATGTACTCTTTTTGTAAAACCAAGATAAAAGGAATTTGTTTTAAATTTTTTTCTAAAGATGAAATTGACCAAACATGAGCACAATTAGAAAAAAGATATTTAGGTGGAAGAACAGTTCCTGGCACAAGGACGTATCATCATTTTTATTCCAATTGCTTTTAACAATAAAGTTATAAAAAAACAAGTATTGATACAGGTATTGAAATTTTTAATATCATTCCAAAAAGCAAACATAATAAAGTGATTTCATTATACATTAAAAAAATGGATTATATTGCATATTTTTTTGACCGATTTTGGTGGGTAGCGATTGCTTATATAGGCAGTTGGTTAAAATCATGAAAAGATCTTAGTTTTAAGTGCTTACTTTATATAAAGATATTGATTGTTAAAATGTTTGATTATTGTTAAAATGTTTAAAACATTTCAATATTTTTGGTTTTAAAATTTATGATTTTTAAAATCGTGAAAAGATCTTAGTTTTGAGTGCTTACTTTGAATTAAGAAGTCAATCATGAAAAAAAAAATGTTTCTCAAACTAAAAAAAAAAAAATGTTTTTAAATAAAATTTTAATAATTATTTATTACTATATCATTTAATGCATCAAAAAAAAAATTAAAAATATTAAATAAATCCAGGGAGACTGGGAGGAGGAGGCAGAAATGGTCAGAGGCCCCCTAGTCCTTCTTTGGCCTATGACTATAAATGTCTAGTCAATAAATAACACTATTTAATGTTTTGATTTTGCAATTGAGCAATTGAAATGATTTAAAAAACATTTCAATTGCTTTTGCAACAAAATTAAAATTTTTTTAAAAAGACAAAAAAATTTTAAATGCAAATTTTGATCAAGTATTAGAGAGACAATTGATGAATCTAATTTTATTCATTAGACCTAAGATAAAATAATGATATGCAATTAAACTATTTATTCAAGATTTTGGACCACAGTCTTCATTTTACCTCCAAATATCATGAATTTATAAGTCAATAATTTTGAACAAAATTAGATAAACAAGGCATTTCCTGTGATAGTCGAGTCTTGAGGGTGCTCTTTTTGGATTCCGCAAGTAAAAATCTATTCAGTACTAAATTTTAGGAAATTTCCCCAAGCTATTATGATGATACTATATGTTGCATTGTAGTCACTTCAGATAATCACTAAAATGCTGATTCAGTATTATTTTAACTGTCAATATCTCTGGAACCTATGTGTATTTTTAACTAAAATTTTTACAATTAGCATAGTTTTTAAATATGGACTGCAATTGAGGTAAAAATGAACAAATTCTAAGACGTAAGGGTGTCGAAATTGTTTTTTTTTTTTTGATGATTTTATATGGAATTACCCTGCAATAGTAGTGTAGTAGTACTTTTGAAATCAGGTTCGATGATTACATCATTTTTCAGGAAAAATTCTTTGAAGGTTTTAATATGCACATTTTGGAAAGCAGCTATAAAAAATTTTAAAATAAATTTTTGTTCATAAAAATTTTTCATGCACAAATATTTTAACAAAAAACAACTTTATTTTAGGTTTAAACTGAGTTTTATATTCATTAATTCTCATAGTTGCTAAAATATAAAGAAGCAACAATCTTTTTTAACTAACTTTTTTTAAACTAATTTACTCCAACTAGGCTGCAGGCAACTAATTTTTATGTTGGGACCTCAGAAAACAAAAATATTTTTAAAATGCAAAAAAATAGTTGACATATCAATCAAAAAACCGTTAATTGTATCTGCTAGATTTCAAGTTTTTTATAGTAATATATAAAAAAATTGATTAAAAGTTAAGTTATATAAAAATGTCGTTTTATTAATTCTTAAGCATCATTTTTAAGTTTCTTTAATATTAATTTTTATATAGTTTTTTTTTTATCTGCATTATTATGATCTGATTTCCTAAAATGAACTGGTTTTTATGACATTTGGAAAAAACATTCAGTCTAATGAAAAAATAAATAAATAACAAAAAAATGAAAATAAATATTTATAATACGTTTTTGATGCAGTATTCAAAAAGGTACTTGTAATGCTGAAATAAGAAAGTAATATTTTCAAAATCAACTTATGATATCCTCTTATGAACCTTCTGATAACCTCATATGAACCTTATTATAATCTTCTATTAACGTTATTATAACCTTGTGATAACATCCTATGAATCTTTTGATAACCCACTACAAACCTTATGGTAACCTCCTATTATCTTTATAATAATCTCCTATGAATCTTATAATTTCCTTTAAAACTTATTATAACCTCCTATAAACCTTATGATAATATTTGATAGCTTGATGTTAATGTTTTTAAAGTTGTTGTTCATCTTTCTTTTTTTTTTCGGTTTTGCTAAAGATCGGCTTAATTTAATATTCAGTAAGAAATTATAAAATTCATAAGAGATTTAATAAAAAGTTCTAAAACATTTTAGTAAAAAAAGAAAGTTTTTGTAAGTAATAAGAAGGCTTCAATAACTTTAAAAAGTTATAGCTAAAAAGTTTAACAACTTTAGGTATTTACATTTATTAATCATCCACAGTATATCATACAGGGTAATTTATTATAAGGTTACATTTTTGAAAAGAAGTAAGTTTATCTTGGAGTATTTACTTCAATAATATCTTTGAAGATTTTCCTTTGCTCCAATGAGTTCCAGAACTCAATTGCATAGCTTAACCTTTAAAGATCTGTTTTAGGAATTTATTTATTGACACAATAACTTTTAATTTTTTTTGTTTTTTGTTTTGCATTAAGTTCTCTAGATAAGATTAATTTCGATTGCATAAACCTATGACATCATCTAAAAAAAGGTACCTTTCAGTTTGTTTTTGAACTTTATGTTTAAGTGAGTCTTAATAACAAATAAAAAAGTTCAAATTGATTAAAAAAAAATTGAATAACAATTTTAATAAGAAATTCTAAAATTTAATAGAAATTTAGTAAGAAATTTCTAAGAATTTTCTTTAAACCCAAAACCAGTTTTTATAAATAATATTAATAAATAAAAAAATTTGTGTTTGAACTGACAGCTTAAGTAAGAAACAATAACAAATAAAAATATTTGTCAAATATAATAACATTAACGCAAATAAAAATTTTGGTTTTATATAACTTCAAATCAATAAAAATCAATTTCACAAAAAGTTATGATTGTGATGATGACTTTAATAGAAATCGTTTTGTTTTATTTAGATTTGTTGAGGATGTCGGCTGAACTGAAAAAATTTTATCTTAGTTATTATGGGAAAATTGGTGAACTTCAACCACTATTAAAAGCATCTGCAAATGTTGATCTCATACAAAAATTTATTGATCTATGTATTGTTGATGCAGTTAATGCTCAAATAGACGCTTATTTCAGTGTTGAACGAAAGGAATTTCTTGAAAAGCAAATTCATTATACACCAATTCCATACAGCGATATATTTATGAAAGAAAAACCAGTAATATTAATATCTGGAATAGCTGGTATTGGGAAAACATGGTTGCTTAGAAAATGTTTGCTTGATTGGTCAAATGATTTAATTTGGAAAAATGTTGAACTTGTTTTCTATTTGGAATGCAGGATACTCAATTCATATGCAAATATTTCTAATATTAATGAATTATTAAATATTTTCTACAAGGATATTGTAAACGATTTTAAATTTAGTAGTCACAATGCACTGTTTATAATTGATGGGTTGGATGAGTTTAAATATTTCAATGAGCTATTAAATCCAAGTTTGACTAGCACTCCGATTGTTAAAGTTTTACGAGAAATTCAAAAATACAAACATGTAATTGCTGGTAGAGTTTATGCAATTGATCAATACCAAAGTATATCTACAGAACATAGCGATAAGTTAACCATTCAAGTAATGGGGTTTAATGAAAATGGAATAAATAATTATGTAGAAAATCATGTTATAGAAGAAAAAAAAGAATTCGTAAAAACAACTTTAAAGGAGTCTTCAATTGCAAAAGCCATGGCCTCTGTTCCGTTTTATTTATCTTCAATGTGTAAAATTATAAGTGATTCGAAAAAAATAGATACAAATTCTTTCTTAACAATGACAGATTTGTATACAAATATTTTTTTATACTTTTTGCGAAAACATATCATAAAAAACAATAAACTGATATATGAGATAATGGAAGACAGTTCCAATAAAAAGTATATTTTAAATATTTGTAAAATTGCATATAAAATGTTTGTTAACAATAAAATAATTTTTTCCAAAGATGAAATTCAAGCTTTTATTAATGACTTTGATAAAAATGAAGGTAATTTCTTTGGATTTATAGAAAGGATTGAAACAGATCTTGGTTGTTATTATCAATTTGCACATTTGACAATAATGGAGTTTTGTGCATCTGTATATGCATATAATTGTTTAAGTAGTGATGAGATTATGGCCAATGAGAGGCTGAAGAGTTGTTTATCAATGATTTGTGGATTAGCCAATAAAAACCCAAACAGTTTATTAAAGTTTCTTGTTAACCTGGATTCTTCTAAAAAACACTATAAAGAATCTTCATTTTTGTTTTCTATTTTGGGTAAGTTTAAGAACTTTGTTGCATTTTGGTGAGCTTATTTTAGATATTCATTTAGGAGTTTACTAAGATGTAAATAATATTGAGCAGTGGTTCCCAACTCTGTGCTCCCTGGTACCATAGCGCCCGCGTAATGATTTATATATGCCTGCCACTATTTGATAGTGAAATTTTTTTATTCATAAATAATAATTAAAATGCTAAATACTTTTATTTATTTGTTATTTAAGAGTTTTAGTTTTTTTGATTGCTAAGGTTTATTAAATACATTCATAAATTTGCAATATTGTATGTATGAGTGCTTCATTTGCTGACTGTACTTGTCGCAATTTGTTTCATTGCAAGGCAGATGCTTTCATGCAATGGGAGCACATCACTTTTTGAAAATACAGAAAACCTGAAGTAGTCACATGTATGTACTGTCCCAAATGACAACTAAAATAATTAAATTCATTGTGTAACCCTTGCTCGGTTTATAAATGCTGACAGTTATTGTTATTGTGGTTTTGGTTATTTTTAGATAAGACTTTTTATTTATTCAATTTTTTTTTTAAGGAAGGTAGGGGGGTTTGTTTTTTTAAGTTAGGTATAACAAAATGATTCTTCTTAAAGCTACAAAACATAATTTAAAAATTCACAAACTAGTTGCACAAATCTTATATATGCATACAGAGCCGTTCAGAAAGTGAATCACCCAAGCAATATGCCCCGAACCTATGGGGGCCCCAACAGTGGCAATAGCATTACGTTTTTTTTTTTCCTTTTTTTTTTCCACATCAAGAGCTTCAAGTTAAATAATAATAAAACAGCTCATAAAGTTCTTTTTTAAAAATAAATTTAGTGTTGCATAACATATTGATGTTCATCTTTATGTTCTACAAAATAGGGGTTATGCAACATATTGATTGTCCATATTTATGTTCTACAAAATAGGGGTCTGAATTTTTTTGACATTTGTTGACAGGGTGAGGTCAAGACAATTTGACGTCAACTATGTTACTTTTTTTTTTTTAATTTAGTTGATTTAAAAAAGAAAAATTAGTCAGAGTTTGCAGTTCTGTGTTAAATGTGGTAGTGGTGTATTGGAATATAGCTTGCTTCAAAAGCAAGAGGTTTGAAGTTCGATTCCCACCAGGTCCCTGGTAGTACCATGCTTATCTTGTTTCTCCGCGCAGCAGCCTTGTTTGTGTTTCGAAGTTATAGAGTTGAGGGAGGGTTATAACCACAAGTAGCCTCCTCATCTGTAGTGGCCTTCTTGGCCTTGGGGAGGTGAATTACAAAAAAAAAAACATACCTGCTAAACCTTCAGTATTTCAATAAAGTTAGTTATATTTCTACTTCTTAAAAACTGTGTTGTGCTTTAAAAAGACAACACAAGGTGTTTCATTATGGAAAATTTTTCGAAAATAGTTAAGTTACATGCACAACGCCTTCAGTAATGAGTCAAAAAAAAGTCTGTAAATTTTTGAAAAGTTTCAAAATATCATTTAGAGGTCTTCGTCTTGAAAAAGTAGCGTTGTTTTACCCTTTTTTCAACTTTGAATTTAATTTCAACATAAAATGACATTAATTCTTAAAAAATAAATAGTTTCTTATTACGTTATATTCTTGGTGTATATAATAAAGGTTATCAGATGAACATTTGGCCAAATTTTCATAAAAAATAGTTAATGTCTAGAGGTCACCGTATTATAAAGTTTACTTTTTTTAACATATTTTATTGCTAAAAAATTCTTTAAATGCTTCAAAAAACATAATACTTTAAATAAAATGCAAAATTTTAGTTTTAAGCATAATTGACCACTAAAAGTCGTTGCATGATTAAGTATATAAATTTCATAAACTTATTTAAAAAAAAGTAGTTGTTATATCAATTAGCAAAATTGAAATTTAAACAATAATTTTTAAAACTAATTTATTGGATAAGCAAATATTTTATTTTCATTATAACAATGAATCTTAGAAAAAATAATCAAGATTACTTAATTGGTAACCCTGAAACCAATAAATTATCAAGCTACAGTCGCCTACCAACAATAAAATATGTGTTAGGTAGATACTCTCATTTACATTTATATTCAAAAAACTTCTGCAAGAGATATTTTTAAACTTGTTCTTGGTGAGCTGAAGGAAGTTTGGAAAAAAGCTGAAATACCGATTTTATCAAATAACTTTTGTTATTCATTGCTTTCCAAATTATTGGGGGAAAAGGTAAATATAAAAATACTTGATCAAGCAAGTTGGAATTTTAAAGTTGGAAAAGAATAAATTGTCAGATTTTGTAATGAACTTGAGCAACTTTTTAATAAGTTGATAATATCACGTAGACCAAAATGGAAAGTATAGCAAATTAAAACTTTGTAAATTGCAACTTTTAGCTGTTTTGTCTCATTAGGTTTTTTGTTTGGAGTTTTTGTAGTTATGGAAACTGGAAATATGTATTTAAGTTAGAAGTTTAATAACTTTTTTACCTTTAACTTTTTTTTTCAGAGCAACCATTTTATTTTTAAATAGTTTTCTATAAAGTAAACTTTTGATGTCTTTTTTGTTTTAGTTGTAAATTATTCTATTTAAAAGATGTTTTATTTTTTTTCTGTTGAACTTTTTTTTTTTTTTTTTTTGTAGGAAGGGGGGTAATTTTTCAAGCGTATTTTTTTGAATGGACAGCCCTAAATCCTGGTCTGCAAGAGCTTTTGTTTAAATCATATCTATATGCTTATCTTGACTTTTGCAGAATAAGATTTGATCACATGATCAAATCTTATTTTAGAAATGAACTTGAATTGCTTCACATAAAATAAACTCTTAATGCAAGTTTTGGAAAGAAACCTCTTGCCTATTTTACTTATTAAACAAAGTTTCTGAAATAAGACTTAGGGAACTCTTTAGAATTAGAGTGATTGCATTACGTAGTTTTGCTTCAATTCCAGTGACAGTGACCTCAAGTGAGCGTTTATTCAGTAAATTGAAGCTCATCAAGCTTCTTTCGCGCTTAACTAATGGAAAAGAATAAACTAGTGACCTTGCCATTTTAAAAAATTTAACGGGTCTTTTATTTTTTTGGAGTAAGGGGCGTGGGCCTCCAAGCTGAAGGAAGCTTTAGGGCCCCCAAATCCTGGGAATGGCCCTGTATGTTTATAAATCCTCCAAATTAATTTAACCCTTAATTAATTTAACAATATTTTGTTTTTGATTTAGAACCTATAAATATTTTATAAAAATTGTTCATAAGAAAAATTTATGTCTTGAGTTCACTTTTATGAGGCTTTTAAAAACTTATTTAAATTCTTTTCTTTGCATGAAATAGCTTTTAAATTCCATTCAACAAGAAATTTAAATTTTTTTTCCTATAGAAAAAAAATGTTGCAGTATACCTACACTGATAAATTTTTAGTGAGCAAAAATTAAAAATTACATTTGTATTAACAATTTAAATTTGTATTACCATTTTTATTTTTGCAAAAATTATTTTAAATTACATTGGTAATAACAAGCGTTAACATTTGTAATAACATTTAAAATAATTAATTTAAAATTAATGATTTTTCTAAAATAAAGTCATTATCAGTTTTAAAAGGTAGTAATTCTAAAATAAAGTCATTATCAGTTTTAAAACTTTTTATTTTATATCTAGTTTTTATTTGTGTAATTTTGTATTTTGTATGCTCAATTTAAATCATTAAAGAATTTTTATAGTCAAAAACAACATAAAATTGAAAAAAAATTCAATTAAAAAAATTTTTTTTATTGTGAAACTTTTTAATTCTTTTGTTCATTTCTTATATTTGCTACTTCAAAGTAATAATTATATATATATATATATATATATATATATATATATATATATATATATATATATATATATATATATATATATATATATATATATAATATTATATTATATTATATTTTATTTGTATATTGTGTATTATTGTTTTTGTTTGTATAAAAATGTATTTTGTATGCTGAATTTAAATCTTTAAACAATTTTTATGACTTTCAACAACGTGTTAAAGAAATTTTACATTTTTTTATTGTCACAAAATATAAAATCAACACAAAAATTAAAATGAATTCTTAAACAAAAATTTTTTTTAGTTAAAACTATTAAATTGATTTTTTTGTTTCTTATTTTGTTCCTGCAAAATATTAATTTAGCATCACTAAAAAAATGGTTTTTAATTTATAATGGTTTTATTTATTTGGTTTTTTTATTATTTTACTTGTTGTATATAACTTACCTAATATTTTTTAATCTTAAATGTCATTTTAAATAATTTTATGTGCAATACTAGATTATTAAAGATGAACTATTGGACATGAAGTTAACAAAAACAAATTAAAACACATAGTTTGTTTGTTTTTTATTAAAAAAGCCAAACTTATAGTATAAACAAAAATTTCAGAAGGTTTACTCTATTTTGATTATTTTATAAGTAAATGCATATTTTTTTGAGATGCATAAATGATAAAATAATGCATCAGAAAGGGCGTAATAGTATACATGCAGGTGTGAGCATGAGTTCTGTGTATTATGTTGAACATCTAAGAGTATATTTCTTGATCTTTGTCTTGTGAAAAGTCTTGTTTTTGGTCTTGGATTGATTTTGTGATGTCTTGGTCTTGATTTTTGTCTTAAATTCTTATATCTTGGTCTTGAGCAGTAGTTAATTGGTCTTAGTTTTAGTCTTAGCTTTAACTGTCTTGACCACATCTCTGGTACTTAGAAGGCATACTTTATCATTTAGATTTAAAAAGCCATAGTTTTGCAAAATATTGTTATATACTCTCCGAACTATGCAATTATAAAATTACGCACTCTTCAAGGAAATTATAACAATTTTTTGTGTTGCTCTTTACGGGACTAAAAATAACAATAAAGTTGAAGGTGTTTTTGCTAAACATTTTACCTTGAAACTAGGATATCAGATTGTAAACAACAATTTTATCAGCATTCAGTATTTAAAATGTTTTTAAACAACAAAAAAGATTTTTTATTTGTT